AAAAATTTACATGTGACATTTAACTCATCAAAAATTAAACACATGACATTAGACAAAACAGAAAGTGTATAAACATATGGCCAACGTGATTTCAGTTGGCAATTGATTCAGTATGGTTGACCAACGTGATCTCAGTTTGAATTTGATGGTTTAGAAAATATTAGTTTAGGATGCAATCAGTATGGTAACAAAGTCTACGTAGGAAATGGTTGAGGGTGGAATGACCTTTTCGCGTTAACTGTCTATGCAGTTTATGTCATCTAAGTTTGACTACACTTGATTTCTTGGGCTGGCTATGGATCAGACAGTGTCGGTCCAAACTGATGAAAGAAAAACTACCCAATAGCAGACTTATATTAAATAAGTAACGTTTGGGCCGTGTTTAGTTGAAAGCGCATAAAAAGGTTTGGGATTATTCACAATACCAAACAGATGACCATGACCAGATTTTCTTCAATGTCTTCTTGATGTGATGGTACTTTTGATCTGAGTGTCAATATTTTGGAAACTATCCCTGGCTTAACAGATGGTTGATTATGCAGAAGACTGTTCTCTGTTTCTAGTTTCGATAAACGGTTGATTAAGCAGTAAGTTTCCTTAAGAGAGAGTTAAGAGAGGCTCGTTTGATCAAAATCAAAAGATCAGTCCATGAGCCGAAGGTAATCGTATTTTGCCAAGTCTGGTATCACTAGCCTGTCAAATAACCTGACAAAAGAAAAGCCCAACTAGTAATGATATCTCTTGTTTCTGGTGATTAAAAACATAGAAGTTAAATTTGCATTCCCGGCCTAACACTATTCTGCTTCTTTTCCCAAGTTGATCTAGTTGTGCAATCCACAATTAAGAAAAACGAAAAACATTTTCACTGCTTTTTGTGCACACGTTTACATAGACAGTAAGCTGATACAACTTATAACTATTAAATGTAGAATAAGTGTTATACAAATGTAAAATGATAACTAGTGCTAAATGATACTCAAGTACTATGTTTGGTCTAATTGTTTCGCTCCTTCAGGTAATACAAGAACACAATGCTAGCTCTATTAATGCGTAGTCAAAGTACTCTCAGTGCGTTCTTGATCAAAAACTTATCACTACTCTTTTTCTAAGAAGGAAAACAAATTACATGACTCCTGTTGCTATTCTCTTGATGATTATCATTCAAAGCTTCACTCTCTCTTTTGTCAAAAATAAATAGTGTGCCCCTAAAGGTTCATCGACGTGACAACACTTAAAGGACGATTGCTTCTGTTTTACCTTTAAGGGGGGTCCGTTCTTATTCGAGATCGGATCTTTATCTCGATTCACATGACCTGTCTGATCATCTCATGTGTCCTAAATTTAAACACGAATTGATTTGTGTACCCTTTAGAATTTAAACACCACAAGAAAAGTTGAAACCTTACCCGACAAGGCCAAACATCTCACCCAAATTAAGTAGAAACCAAAAGTTATGAATATGAGATTGACAGATCATTCACACCAATCATAAATCATTCACACCAATCATAAACAAGCCCTTTAATGTACTTATTGTACATTCCAAAATGCAAGATATACATACATATCAAATGATCACATACGTACGTAGCATACGGTGAAAAAGCATTAAATAAAATCAGAAACCCCAATAATCAAATCATATTTTTAACGACTAGAACCTTGTGTTTGATGGTCGGATATCGAGTTCTTGAGTCCAAGCTCTCCGGTCTTGAACATGAATACTCCAATATGTTTGAGCCAATACGTCAGGATCCATTCCCATCACTCCCGAGCTTTCGCCTTCTCCTTCTCCATCTTCGCCTCCAGTATTGAATGATTTCTCTGCCACTATTCCTCTTGGTGGGATGTTTGTTTCTCTGAAAGTACATTTTCGGAAAATTTTATAGTAGGGCAAATCCCTTAAATAGCACCAAGAAAAGTTGTGACAAGAAAACACAAAGATAAAAATCTTCAATATAACACTAAAATGTAAAATGACTCAATTATTAAATACTAAACTCCAAACTCTAATTAGTAAACCCAAACAAAATATTAAAAACTCTTTTTAACTTTTAAAATATGTGCTATTTTAAACAAAAATGTGTGTTTAATAATTTTTATGGTATTTCTCCTTATTTATAGTATCCAATGCTATTAATATTGAAAAATGCTAGTATTAATTTAGAAAAAAATGCTAAGAATTTTGTTTCTTTAGATCTTTAAATGCGTAATGTGCCAAACTGTCAGTAATGTGGACAGTTGTGAAGGGGGGGGGGGTCTCTGTAATAAAAGTTCTCCCCTTTTTCATCTTCTTACATAAAAACAATCAAATGTGTAGGCTAAAGATTCAAAATAAAATATAGGGAAGAAGAAATGGAACCTCAACAAATATATACGGTGAATCTCGAATCTATTAAATATATTTTTTATGATAAAGTTCGATAAGAAAAGAAAAGATTCTTGATAAATTTTTGAAGTAGAATCTTGTCTGTTTGGATCAGAATCATACCATATGTGGAGGCTATAAAAAGTTAAAACCCTCTTTTTGGACATATATTGTGGTTCTAATTTCATCTTCTATGATTTTCCTTATTTTATATAATTAATTTAAAAGTATATATAATCGGAGGAAAATGGTCATATGGTTACGTACCTTGGAGGTCCAACCACGCCGTCGATGATAACATGAGCCACATGTATTCCAAAAGCTTGATATTCTTTTGCCAAGCATTGAGAGAGAGCCCTCAATGCAAATTTCCCACAGCCTGTTCCAATTTCGATATCTTTAGTGGATGATCCATTTTTAAAAGAGTATTTTAATTTTTACAAATACTAAAATATTCTAAAGAGAATTACATAGCTCGGAGAAACCAGCAACGCCATTCAGTGATGCCGAGCAACCGGTAAAGAGTATTGTTCCTTTCCCTTTCTCCATCATCCCGGGAATAACCTTTTTGTATCATATGTTAAGCAAATAAATTCAAATGAAATAAATACCTTACAACAATGTAGAATTATCTTTATATAAAAGTTCAAATGTCTAAATCACTCAATATTATATATATACCCTACAAACTTCAGCTTAATCACATAAAATAAATTAAAACAATATTTTCTTACAAAAAAAATATACACAACTAGTACATCAAACACTTGACAAAAAAACAAGTGCATCAGCAAATGATTAATTCGATCAAAAAAAATCTAAACGTCCAAATCACTTACACCAGGCTGCAGATTACTCGCAAAAAATAAAAGCAGTACTTTATACACAACTAGTATAAATCAACAAATGATTAAATCTATAGAAAACATCCATAGTTTAACACTTTCAAAGTAGTGTATCAACAAATGATTAAATCTATCAACATTTTTGAATTGTTCAAATCACTCACTTCAGGCTACAGATTACTCAAAAAAAATATAAAAGCAGTATTATACATCAACAAATGATTAGTTCTAAATAAAATGACGAAACCTATATATATATATATATATATATAAAGTTTAATAGTAACCACATAAATGATCTTATTCATTTTAAACAAAATATGAGAAGTTAATAGACATTGTTGACTCAAGTAATACTAACAAGTGTTTTTTTTTTTATCATAAGTGGATAAAGTATGGGTCAAACACATTATCATCAAATGCTAACTTTGGTTGCACAAGTTATCAGAAAAACCTCTATAAATTTCAGAAAATATGAATAGGCATTTAGACAAAGGTATACCTGTTGGGCGCACAGGAATGCAGCGAAGACAGAAACGGAAATAGAAGTTTGGAAAGATTGGAACGGAATGTGGGTGAATGAAGTGGGATGGTGACTTGTGTAAGACGAAGAGGAATGATAAGCATTATACACCAAAACCTCCACAAACCCTAAAGACAACACTCCTTCGAAGGCTTCTCTTACGCTTCTTGGATCCGCACAATCAATTCTTATAGCAAACA